AGGCTAACTCTGCCCACAGCCAAGAGTTTGATCCTTGTGCTGTGCAGACAGTATATAGGTAATGGAAATTGAGTTAGTTAAGTTAGAATTGGGAGCTGTCCCCTTAAGGGAATGTCTCATCGTAAATGTAGTTAATGCATTCTGGGAAATGTAGTTCATGTCATGTGGTCACATCTGTAATCCTGATTAGTCACTAAATTGACCCTTAGTTGGGTTGGGTTCACTCCTGCCTGGACCCCAGCATGCTGGTGCCTCACCCCCTTGCTCTTTTGTTATGGGATGAGAGATCACTATTCTTTTACACTATGAAGTCAGCTATGCGAAGAATTGGATATTAGATGAAGCTCGACGTAACCGTGAGTTATATTTGAGGATGCCTTGTGACCAATAAAGAAACTTTGTATGGAAGCCCTTTTAGAGTTGTCTGTCTGTCTTTATATTCAGCCAGCAGTCTAAAGACAGAAGAGTAAAAGAATAGTGCCAATCCGAACTCCCTCAGTAAAAGAATAGTGCTAATCAGAACTCCCTCAGTGAAAGAATGATGTTACAGCTGAATTCCAGTGTAGAGTAAAATCAATTTCAATTCCTGTGACAAGAATAAAAGTATATTGAAATCGGAACTCCCAAGTGAAAGTACAATGCTAATCTGAGTTTCCAGAGTAAAGATATAAATTAATCAGATTACCTGTGAAAGACTCTCTCTCTCTCTTCGTCTTTCTGAGCAACAAGTTTTGAAACCTGTTTGAATTGCTGGGAGGGGCCAGAAATCCCCCATCTCTACCTGTAGTCCTCCAGTTACTATCTTCAGACCCTTTGCAAATGCAGTTCAAAGAGACTGAGTGATTCTTTCTCATGTCCTAAAAAACATAGAAACTGCATGTTCTCCAAATCTGGAGTGGCTTTACACTCCTCACTGCTTGTGCCTTCAAGAGGAAGAAGATAATAAAGAGCTCCCCTCTAGCCATTTTATGATGGGGTCTCCAAGCAACAGGGTTGTAAATTCTTTAGTGCTGAGCCGTCTCCATAGCAATGGGCCATATACCCCCGCCCCCAAGAGAGAAACCAAATCCAGCAAGCAATTTAAAGAGAGGAATGCAGCTTGCCGTTTCTCTTTGCTGACAGAGCCAAAAAGAATTTTCCTTTACTGAAATTAGAAGCAATCTAAAGTCAAAGATACCAGTCTACATTAATCAATAAAGGGAAATCGCCTAATCGTACTTTGCCCAAACATTACTTAAAAGCAAAACATCCTTTGATGATTATCCATCATAAATGCATGCAATTTAGCAACCCCTTGCAACATAACTTAGTGGTCAAGCACCACTAAGAGGCCAACCTGTGTACTGTATCAGTGTCTTCCAGACCTAGCAAGCAGCACTAAAAGGCCAACCTGTATACTGCACCAGTGTCTTCCAGACCTAGCAACACATACCTCTAGTAGTCAACTACTGAATTTTACAGAAATTTCTAAATTCAGCCACACGCCTGCAGCGCCACCAAGAGTACTGAATTTTACAGAAGTTTCTAAATTCAGCCATGCCTGCAGTGCCACCTAGAGTACTGAGTTTTACAGAAGTTCCCAAATTCAGGTACACACCTGCAGTGCCATCTACGTGGTCAAGCACTGAATTTCACAGAAGTTTCTAAATTCAGCCACCCGCCTGCACCGCCACACTGGTAGAAAAAGGGGAATTACATGGAAAACCACTAAATTTTCCAAAATTCACCTTTTGCCAATTTGAAGCATGGCAACATCTTCAGCCATGACAGATGTCTCTGAGGTACCAGAGGACTTGAACCCTCCACCTACCCTCGATGTAAATGTGGAGCATGGTTTCCAAAACCCAGAATCAGAGGTCTACAATTCTGAAGAGGCAGCGGGACCTCAGAAAACCTACGAATTCAGACACCATAGGAAGCTTACCGAGCTCATGGAGTCATACTTGAGGGAGGATTGGGACTGGCAGTATGAATGCCATACAAACTCATGGTCACAGCTGCTGGAGATCTGTGATCAAATGCAAGCTGTCCCTCGAGAGAATCTGCACGTTGCAGAAAGACCTGGGTAACTTTCTTCCATGGTGGAGAGACAGTGAAGGTAAACTCAAGTCCATTCAGTCAAAGCTGGGTGACCCAAAGCTCCAAGAATACATTTGATGCTTCAAGGAGATGAACAAGGAATGTGAGGACTTCATTCAGAGAGGCAAAGACTCCCTCCAAGCTGCACTCCATGAAGCGCTTCAGCTGGAAGAAACATTGGGGGAGAGGGCCACATCCGATATAGCCCCTCAGTCACATGTGGCCTCCTCCCACTATTCTAAGAAAGCCTCTTCCCTCCATCCCAGGCCAGCTAGATCTCAAGCAGTTTCCAGCGTCTCACAGCAATTCTCTGCTACTAGCTCTTCCCATCCTTCCAGAGCATCCTCCCATCGTAGTGACACATCTAAGGCCTCCAAAGCAGCAAGTTATGCCAACCGAGCTGCAGAAGCTGAAATAGAAGCTGCAGTAGCAGACGCAGATCTATGTGCAACAGAAGAGGTGACATGGCAGAAGGAGGCAATTGCAGAAGTCCAGGCCAGCCAACAAGCAACAATGGCCAAAGCTCAGGCCAAATTGGAGTTGGTCAAACAACAAAGGGAGTTGACAACAAAGACAGTACAAGCCAAAGTATTATGGAAGGTAGCCAACGCCACCTCCCTAAATTTCCACCTTGGAAAGTTGGAAAGAGAGAGCCCAGATAAATGTGTCAAGACCTACATGGATGTGCAGCACTCACTATGACACGGGCAGGTGAAACCGGTATGGTTAGTTAGCAGTCTCCTAAAACCAGGAGATCAAAGGAAGTAGTCAAAGGCCCAAAAGGCTCCCCATTTGCCTTCAAGACAGTGCTAGGATGGGGAATCACAGGGATAGTCTGCATTGATAAGCTGCAGTCCCCATCCCAGGCAAATGTCTTTGCAACATCTATCCCAAAAGCTTGCCAACACCCCTTGAAACCATTGGAAGCAAGAGTACCTGTCCACCCTACAAGGCTGCCAGAAGCGACCAGCAGACTTTCACCAAGAAGCTCTACACCAGACCGGTCACCGATCTAGTGTTGCTGTGGAGAAAGGCTGAACTTGAAGATTGAACCTCAACTTTGCATGCTTTGCTTTGTTTGATGCTATATTACTGTTTACTGTTTATCTTAGTTATATAGTTAATTGATAGTTAGTTAGTAGTGGACTTTATAATTTCAGGTGGGGAGTGTGCTGTCCAGACAGTATCTAGGTAATGGGAATTGAGTTAGTTCAGTTAGAATTGGGAGCTGTCCCCTTAAGGGAATGCCTCATGGTAAATGTAGTTAATGCATTCTGGGAAATGTAGTTCATGTCACATCTGTTGTTGTGTAGTCGGAAGGCACACACGAGGCAGACACAGAGCTGAAGGCTAACAACGATTTATTTAAGCAAAGCAGGTTGCCGCGGCTGCCCTGGCTGGGCAGGCAGTCCCGAGCAGGGAGAGCTTCTCTGGCTGGGCAGGCAGTCAGGAAGGCGATAGCTGCCTCGGCTGGGCAGGCAGTCCGGAAGGCGATAGCTGCCTCGGCTGGGCAGGCAGTCCCGGAGGCGATAGCTGCCTTGGCTGGGCAGGCAGTCCGGGAGCCGATAGCTGCCTCAGCTGGGCAGGCAGCCCGGATGGTGAGAACTGCCCCGGCCGGGCAGGCAGCCCGGAGGGTGAGAACTGCCCCGGCCGGGCAGGCAGCCCGGAGGGCAGGAACTCTTGCGAGCGCTGCTCCGTTGGTCCGCTCTCCGCTCGCTCGCTTCGCTTGGCTGGCTCTGCTCGACAGCCGGCTTTTATAGCCGACTGTCAAACGGAGCCAACCAATGGGAGCGGCTGGTGTTCCCGCTCAAACAGCGGACCTGGTTGGGAAACCCCAACCAGTTCCAAAGACATAACGGAAACTGTCAGGGACACAACACCCCTTCCCCCTTAGCTAGGGACATGGCAGCCCAGGCTGGGGCTGTGGTTGGGCAGGGACACAACATCTGTAATCCTGGTTGGTCACTGAATTGCCCTTTGGTTGGGTTGGGGGAGGTTCCTTCACTCTTGCCTGGACCCCAGCATGCTGGTGCCTCACCCCCTTGCTCTTTCGTTATGGGATGAAAGATCACTATTCTTTTACACTATGAAGTCAACTATGCAAAGAATTGGACATTACATGAATCGCGATGTAACCGTGAGTTATATTTGAGGATTTGTGACCAATAAAGAAACTTTGTATGGAAGCCTTTGTAGAGTTGTCTGTCTGTCTTTATATTCAGCCAGCAGTCTAAAGACAGAACAATCCTGATCACCTCAAGGTTGACTTAGCCTTCCTTCCTTCCAAGGCTGATAAAACGAGAACTCAGATTGTTGACGGCAATAAGGTGACATTTGTAACCCCTCCCCCCAAGAGTGTTGTAAAAGTACTAGGGGCAATATATGTCTTAAGTGCTATTGCTGTTGGTAATATCGTATTTAATTAGCATATCTGCACTCTTGGTGGCTATGCTGTCTAGAAGTTGTCAGTTATAGGCCCAGCCATCTAGAATTTTTGTAAAACTGGATTCCATATTTTATTCTAAATATGCACTTGGGAATCTGTGGTTATCTTTTTTAATAATAGGCCTCGGCTATCTAGTATAGATCAGGCTGCAGTATTTGAGGATCCCAGTCCTGACCAGCTGAAAAACAGTATTTTTGAGTGTTCTTGGAAAAGATTCTAAGAGGGAACTACTCTTTCATTCTGAATAGGTGATTTTGTTCACTAGACCTCGGTGTAATCAAAGCCCACAATAAGAAACCCACAAATGTCCCTTTCCTAAGAAGAACTTTTCTTCTTCCTGAATGCTGTTGCATTTCTGTTAAAAAAAAAAAGGCTCCCAATTTTTTCCAAAGAGACATTTATTAAAAGCATTCAAAGAAGAACTAATATTTTGAAATGAATTATCTAATTGATACTGCCTCCACTGAAGCTGAATTCACTGGTCACAGCCAAATGTCTCCCATTCTGGGACATGCTTCCCCTTTCCCTCCTGCCACTGCTCCCTGGCCCTTTTGACGTCCTTCCCAAATTCCTGATGGAGGCAAGCGAAATCCATGTGGGGGAATCTTCTTTGTGCCACTGGTTTTGGAGGCTGCAGGGGAAGGTCCGTGGCCTTGCAGCTTGCTTCTTCCTCAGAGTACTGTTGGCTCTTCAGCCGGTGAAATTGGCCTTCCAACTTGGTAACCAACGCTCGGAGGTACTCAAATCCCGCCCTGCTGAGAGCTCGCATCCAGTCTTCCATCGTCTCTTGATCCTCAGCTGCCATCTTATAAGACTGGTCAGGCAAGACATTGCGGTAGCAGATTTTAAAAGTATGAGGCTCCGAGGTGGATTCCTGCAACTCCACCGTGCAGCCTTCTAACACAATGAGATGACAAGGAGCCCGGTCTCCAGGCTGTTCCCAGCAGATAAGAAGATTTCCTCGGAGCTCACACCAGCAGCGCTGATAGGTAGTGGCGTGGTTATTTTTCTTGTAAAGGACTCCCTGCCGGTCTGGGAGCTGATCCAGAGGGGAAGAGGTAAGAATGCTGGAGGTGTGAAGTTTGATGGCGGACTGGCTCTGAAACTGGAGAGAAAAGTCATAGAAAACAGGGATGAGGGAACATATAAGAGGAAGATGAAGGCGGTAAAAGAGGAACTGAGCTGAGCACTTTTTTTTCTTAAACTGGGTTTCCAAATGTGTGGGATTATTTCTCCCAGCAGCCTGGACATCATATAGTTCACGAGCAAAGGATGTTTAAATCATGCTTAAAAGAGTTATGGTGGGAAAGTGGTTAAAATGCAGCAGTATTGCAGGCTAATTCTGCCAACTGCCAGCAGTTCGATTCTCACCGGCTCAAGGTTGACTCAGACTTCCATCATTTCGAGGTTGATAAAATGAGGACCTAGATTGTTGGGGGAGGGCATATGCTGACTCTTAGCAAAGATGCATGGACTGGCTAGGAATTCTGGGAGTTGAAGTCTGCACATCTTAACCTTCCCAAGATTGAGAAACACTGAACTAGAGCATTATGCATTTACTCTATGAACCTTCTTTGTCAATCACTTCAATCTCAGGAATGCTCATGGAATACTTCAACCTCCAACACTGAGGTGCCCAACAGCTGACCTAGTTTTGACCACAGGGTGGGGGTGGGGTGGGGGTGAAAATTACCATTTTTTTCCTGTTGCTTGGATTAGAAGGAGAAAATAGCAGAATTCTTGTCAATTTCACCTAGTGGAGGAAAAAAAAACATACAAGTCCAGTTTTCAAGACAGGTTAGTGTTTCAATAGTATTTTTTCTATTTTGAATAATCAAGTGCTCTATTTCTTTGGTGAAGGTTTTTTTTTTTTTTTTTGAAGTAAAACAGTGACAAGGGGAGAGGCATATTTCTGGGCCACATGGGTCTCCCCTCCTCTTGTTGTTAGGTAGGTTGGAGTTGTGTTTGCTTACCTTGAAAAGAAATGCAGCAGATGAACCAGGTATTACTCCTAGTACTGTTAGACAACTCTACTTTGGATAGTTAATAGAACAAGAGGAAGGGAGCGACCTTTCTGGTGAGTTGGGGGGCAGAGCAAGGATGACATATGTAACTAAACCACATTTTACTTGACATTGGCTGAGGTGTGACTTCCCCGGACAGCCAGTTTGATGTAGTGGTTAAGACATCAAGCTAGAAAGTAGGAGACCATGAGTTCTAATCCTGATTTGATCACTAAGTCAATTGATGATGGTGGACCAGTCACTTTTACCCTGGGAACAAGGCAATGACAAACCATTTCCAAAAACCCTTGCCAAGAAAATTGCCATGATGCATCCCATGGAGTCACTAACAAAAACTGTAGCAAAAACTGATTTGAAGGTACCAAAAATTCCCATCTTCTGTATAGTGGCCTGGAACCTGTCAAACAGTCCTATGATTTATTGACTATTGTATAGCAATGGTAACCTGAATGGGTGGCATCCTGTAGGTACTAACAGGCAGCCAATGATCTTAATCTACAATAATCTTGGAGAGAGATTAAGAAGCAGATAAGAAGCAGATCTCCCTAGCCCCAACCATCCTGTTTGAAAATAAAAGACAGAGGATCAGAGCCAGGCAAAGATAAAGGAAATAAATAACATCTTCCTCTTGATAGAAGTCAGAATCTATTAGGCCAGTGTTTCTTAAGCTGGACAACTTTTAAGAGGTGTGGATGTCAACTCCCAGGATTCTGGGAGCTGAAGTCCGCACCTCTTAAAGTTGTCAAGGTAGAAAACTCTTGTATTTGGAAATGGGGAAAAAATAGCAAACAATGTTTTACTTCAGGAATCTGTGTGTCCCTGAGGAATTACAATAGCATACCTCTAGGCAAAACTCTTGTAGGTTTTATCATGTCTGAAATGTATCTTCTCTATGCAAGCCTAGTATTTTTCTTTCTTTCTTTCTTTCTTTCTTTCTTTCTTTCTTTCTTTCTTTTTCTTTCTTTCCTTCTTTCTCTCTCTCTCTCTCTCCTCTCTCTCTCTCTCTCCTTCCTTCCTCCCTCCCTCCCTCCCTTCCTTCCTGCAACTTTATAAGCAGCTACTTCTATATTAGATCCAGACCAATAGCTCTGCTCAGAGGTTCATATTTTCCTTTATAGTTTTCTAAAGACCTCTGGAAATTGAGTACCTTTATTTTCCCCCCGCTATTTTTGCCACTGAATGTTTGGCATGGGAGAACTTAAAGCTAAAAATTGCTTATTCCTCAGGTTTAAATTGTCTCTAGAGGGACTATCTCCAAAAGGGAGAGGAAAGGCAGGTACCTCAACACTAAAGGTCCAGGATTTGGGACCCTATATTATTATTTTTTCCTTTTAAATTGCCGGATGAGCAACATAGTTTGTGGGAATCTTCTCTCCTACATATGCTGGAGAAGGATGCCAAGAGGGGTGCCTCTTTGAAAATACTTGGTGGCAGCAGGAACTACCTCAGGTCTCTGCACCAAGACAGAGGACAGAGGCAGGATATACTGGCAATCCTCAACTTACAACAGTTCATTTAGTGACTGTTCAAAGTTACAACAGCACTGAAAAAAGGTGACTTATAATTGTTTTTCACACTTATGACCTTGCAGCATCCTCATGGCCACGCAATCAAAATTTGGATGCTTGGCAATTGACTCATATTTATGATGGTTGCAGTGTTCTGGGGTCCTGTGATCACCTTTTATAACCTTTTTGCAAGCAAAGTCAATGGGGAAGCCGGATTCACTTAACAACCAAGTTACTAACTTAACAACTGCAGTGACTCCCTTGACAACTGTGGCAAGAATGCTCATCAAATGGGGCAAAATGCACTTAACAAATGTTTCACTGAGCAACAGAAATTTCAGGCTTCATTCATTGTAAGTCGAGGACTATTTGCATAGACTGAGAAGGCTTCTAGTTTCAAACTTCAGCCTTTCATCCTAAAGGTTCGGCCAGTCCACTACATGGAGTTTAATGCATACAAGTGGAACATATTATGGACCTTTAAAGAAGAAGCAGGGTGTAAAAGTAAACACAAAAATTGAAAGTCTAGGACAAGGGAATGATAAGGAAAAAGATAGTGAAAAAAAGATAAATGGTTTGAATGAGGAAGTAGTGGAATCGTTTCACAAAAGAGTGGTGAGGAAATACAGGGGAATGAAAAGAGACTTTGGAGAGTGGAAAGCCCGATAAAAAAGAAATTAAAAATCTATGCTGAAGTAGCACAAAAAATGTCATTAAAAAAGTCTAAGCTTTTGAACATGAAAGAAAAGTGGATTGCAAGGAAAGGAAGGGGGAAAGGACCAGTTTTGTAATCTTATGCCTCCTAAGTCATATTGCTTGATGAAATGACAGGCAGCCTTTGGGCATACCCAAATGGGGATTCAAAACAGTGGTGCAAGGTTATGAGTTTGCAAAAAATAATAATAAATAAATAAATTCAGGGATATTTAAAGTAAATTAATCACAAGATAGGGTAATTAGAGAAAAGTATGACATGAAAGCACTTGCTGAATGCATTCAGACCTTACCTTTGGTGCCAAATTCACCCTTGGGTTTTTCAGATAGGAGAGTTTTCCTTACCTCTCGCAATACTTTCCTAGATGAAGAGGGTGGGGCTAATGGTTACCTAAGTCCTTTCCTGGATGAAGAGGGTGGGGCTAATGGTTACCCATGTCCTCTATCCAAGTGGCATTAAAAGTATTTTGATCTCTTGGTCCAGAGTGACAGAGATAAGAGCAGGAAATGACTTTGATCATGGTTTCTTGTTTTCTTCATCCACATCTCCCCACAAATGAGTTTGAAGAACAAATGGTTACAAAAAAGGAAGATAACTTGACCACAAACTAGAGTTCTCTCTGGTCCTAAAGAGAACCAATTTTAGGAGGAAATCAATTGAATATAACACAAATTGCTCTTCAAATAGAATCAAATAGCTAAGGTACTAATTGGTTTTTATAGCAGTCTGTTTAAATATTTGGATCTATCAAGTTTTGTATGGTTGAATATTATATTTGTTTCTAATGTTTTCTTCTTTTTGAAAAAAACTTATTTTCCTTTCTATTATTCATATTGTAAGATACTCTGAGATGGCATCATGAAATGATGGGTAAAATCCCAATCAGAAAAAATATATAGAAATTAACTTTTCTGTTTGCTTCTAGAGGGCAGGTAATTTAACTTCAGACTTACTGAAAGATAGATGGAATTTAATGCAAAGTGCGGTAGTCCCCATTTAGTGACTGCCTCAACCATTTGCAATTATGGCAGTGAAGAAAAAGTAACTTTATTACCAATCCTCGTATTTACAATCTTTGCATTTATGCAGAGCAAAAGAAAGCTGAAGTTAAATCCTAAGCATAGTTACAATTCTACCTAGTGTCCACTTTACTTAACAACCAAGTTGTTGATTCCAGTTATGGTCCTAAACAAAAAATCAGGGGTATGATGGTTCAGCAGTTAAAGATGCTGAGCTTATTAGTTGGAAAGCTAATAGGTTTGAGACCCGAGTGTTGTGTGATGAGGTGAGTTCCAGTTACTTGCCCCAGCTCCTGCCAACCTAGCAGTTCGAAACCATGTATAAGCAAGTAAATATATCTACCACTTTGGTGGGAAAATAAATGTTCTATATGCCTCGGCATATAGCCATGCTGGCCACATGATCATAACATCTTTGGACAGTGCTGGCTCCCTTGGCTAAGAAATGGAGATGAGCACCACCCTTTGGAATCAGAAACGGCTGGACAGGTGAAACCTTTACCTTTTGAACAAGAAATAGCTTCATCCGATAAATTTTCAGTAGTTTCATTTGCATATGTTACGGTAGTTTTCCTCAACCCAGTGTCCTGATATATTTGATGTCAATTCTGAAACCTTTGGCTAGCTATGCTAGTTGAGAATTCCCATGACACTGTAGAAAGTTAGCACCCACCCCTCTCCTAGAAGAATGAAATATTTTGAGAAATATTAAAAAGGCAGGATAAAATATTTCCCCTAAAAGAGAAATAAAAATCTTAAGGGAGATAGAAACTCAAGGCTCCAGCTCTCTGCCCCTAACAGATATTTGGTGCCCATTAAGAAAGACTGGGCCATCCTATCTCTAAACAGAAGACCTTCAGCTCCAGGGTGATGGGATTTACCCTTACTCAAGATCTAAACCAGGATAAAGCCATTAAGACACAATAGGAATTGCCCAACACCCTTTCAGAACACATGCCTCTTTACTACATCATCACCCTGCAACTTCAACCAAACCTGGAAGCTCAGACAAACATGACAACAGCCAATAGAATGCATGTTCTTGCACAGGAACAGGAAGCTCAAGTGCAAAACACAAAAGAAGGTATACTCCATGTGATCAGCTTCCCAGAACCAACTATGTGCTTCTGCTTCACCATTAAAACTATATTTCCAATCAGCCTCCATGTTTCCAGTGTCTTTCTCCCAGCTTGGAACTGAACCAGATGAATATTTCTTCCAACAAAACCATGAACCAAATGGGTGAACTTAATCTAACTGATTATATAATAATGTAATGTGAAAACTGGACAAAGTAAACCACATGTAAATTAACCATGGTTATGATTTATCTGTGTGATGTTTGCAAACAACTATTATATGACAGAATTGGTTTCGGTATACCATTGGTCACTCATCTATGGGATATCAAATTTTGGTAAGCTGCAATCCAGGGAACATCTGAAGAATCTCTGTCTCATTTTCAAAGGCTCAGCATCAAGTATAAAGAAAAGGCAATTACCACTTATATCATTATAAGGAAGAATAATGAAGCCTATGACTTTTAAGATGATATAGTATTGGATTTAATGCTCGTCAATCCATCAGCCAAAGTAGTAGCCACAATCATGTAAAACAATGTTTTTCAAAGTTGGCAACTTTAAAATGTGTGGACTTCAACTCTCAGAATTCCACACATTTTAAAAATTACCAAATTTGAAAAACACCTATGTAAATCTACAGGTTCAGCACTGCAATAAAATGAGGAAGGGAAGCAATTAATGACAGAAGCATATGCTTTCTATTTTTGCATGAGAGCATAGGATGAGTCCTAAATCAAGAAGACCTGAATTGCTGAATGCCGCCAGCAAATTATTATTTTTGATCCAAATTAGACTATTAGGCTGAATGTTCTTTGTTTCATGGCACCCAGGTTAGAGGAATAAGAGCTGAACAATAACCTAAAAGTGAGCCCTAACTTTGTTTAAACACAGCAACTGGTTTAATAGGATAGTTGTAGTACCCAGTCAAACTCTTTTGTGGAAGTTGCACCTGCATAGTTGTAAAGGATCTCTGTAAACCCTGGAAGATAAACTACCTTGGCTAAATATGAACAGAAATAGTTAATCTTTGACTGGAACCAATCAGGAAACCTGAAATCAATAGATATATTGGAAAGTTAAAAAAAATGGGGGCGGGGGGAATTAGCTAATAATTTCCTTATTGTTGCCACAAAAAAATATTTTTATCAAATTGCCAGGAGCCAAAGTTTGACTCAAGGGAGTTTCCCTAAGGGAATTAAATGGTTTTATGAAGAGCTTTGAAGATTCATTTAATTTCAGATTTTGTGTACAGGATTTTTGTATACAGAGGCATTCAGTAACTAAGAAACAGGGTAAGATAACTTAGTGTCTGTTTGGTTGTCCCAAAGGTGCTTTTTCAAAAGGCTCTCAACTGCTCTGTAGGTCAAATGCGTGGATCAAAGAAAATACAAAAGTGATCAAAGAAAATATCAAAACTGTTTGTTTTGATAAACAAAAAGTTTTACTTCCTTCATCTGCAAGGACACCACGAAAACAGTTAAATAAAATTAAAGTCAGCTATAAACTGAGTTCACCAAAACCTGTATTTATAGTAATTTCCCCCTTATTACCCACCATTATTCATTATTACCCCTTATTATCTAATCACAGTCATAATAGTTAATTCCTGTAGCCTAATTACTCCATCATTAGCCACATTAACATTGCTGTAACAAAAAGGCTCTCTCAATATACCCTCTCTGTTTATTATTCAGGATCGTTGCTGGTGATCGCCATCCTTCTCGATCAAGCCATCACCGGTGTTCCGTTAGACTTTTGTGTTGCATGATTGCGACAGGTGCCCCCCTCTACCAGGATCTAGTCTATAAAACAATATACAGTATATTAATACTCAGTTCACTATTGCGGTCCAGTCTTATCTGGATACTTGGCATGAAACTGCCTTAGAAGTCTATTTGCATATAGGTCTGATGCTTTTACTCATGTTGCCTCTGCTTCAGGATATCCCTTCCACCTCACCAGATATTGCAATAATCTTCTGCATATACAAGAATCTAGAATTTTATCAATTTCAGCATGGTTAGAACCCCTAGCTATAATAGGTTCCTCGGTCCTAGGTATATTATTGTGTTCTATAGGTTTCAATAAACTAGCATGAAACACAGGATGCATTCGTTGTAACCATGGTGGTAATTTAAATTGTACAGTGATGGAGGTTAATCACTTTAGTAATCTGGAAAGGTCCAATATATTTTGGCCCTAGTTTCCTATTATTTAGGTTTAATTTTATATATTTTGTTGACAAGTAGACATAATCGCCTGCTTGGAATGGTTTATGCTCTTTTCTTGTTTGCCTATTGTTTGTATTCTTGTGCTGTTCTGTCGAGAATCTCTTTTACCTTCTCCCAATTATCTTTGACCACATTTTAGCACTCATAGGATGCATGTCATCACACTGTAAATCAGGCATTGGAACAAACTCTACCCCATTTACTATTTGGAATGGGCTATACCCTGTACTTTCATGTATAGCATTATTATATGCTACCTCAGCAAATGGAAGCAGATCAGCCTATTCCTGCTGTTGATAAGATATATATGATCGCAAATATCTCTCAATCATCGCATTGGTTCGTTCAGCTGTGCCATTAGTGCTAGGATGGTATGCAGAGCTAAGACCTTGTGAAGAACCTAAGAGATGTACAAATGCTCTCCAAAACCGTGCAGTGAATTGCACACTCCTATCTGCAATTATTTTCCTGGATATCTCATGTAATCAGTATGTCTGTCGTATGAATAAATCTGCTAATTTTGTTGCTGAGAGCAACCCTTTACACAGTATGAAATGGGCTTGTTTTGAAAACAGGTCTATGATAGTCCAGATTACTGTGTTTCCTTTACTGCTGGGCAATTCTACAATGAAGTCCACGGCAATGTCTTGCCATGGCCGGTTGGGGTCTCAAAAAGTTTGTAATAGTCCCAAAGATTTTCCAACCCTTGGCTTTGCAGTAGCACAGACATGACATTCCTTAATGCATTGTTCGATTTCTGATCTCATATGTGGCCACCAGAACTGCTGCCTTGCCAAATGCAAGATTTTTAGAAAGCCAAAGTGCCCTGCCTGCCGAACATCATGACATTGGGCCAACACCTATTTTTGACAAATCGATGGAACCTACACTGCTCAAAAAAAATAAAGGGAACACAAAAATAAGACATCCTAGATCTGAATGAATGAAATATTCTTATTAAATACTTCGTTCATTACATAGTTAAATGTGCTGACAACAGAATCACACAAAAATTATCAATGGAAATCAAATTTAGCAACCCTTGGAGGTCTGGATTTGGAGTTACATTCAAAATTAAAGTGGAAAAAAACAGAACAGGCTGAT